GTGTCAAATCTGACAGACCACCACGGCACCAAGATAAATTAAGTAGTATACCGGAAGTTAAAAAGAGCGGGTAAACTCAAAGTTGGATGTTATATTAAAGTGTGTGTAAAATAACTTATTATGATGGGAACAACAAACATACCCATCACAGATGTGTTCATCTGAAGGTTGACACTCGAGGTGCCGCAGAGAAATTTGAAAACCATGTAAACGTAGATGTTGGGGGAGAAAGCAGAACCAACACTGAAGAACAGGAGGAGAGAAACACAGAGCAGGATCGAGAAGCGCCGTCCAAACCTGCAGAGAGAGGAGAGATGACGTATGCTTCCGCCTCAATACAATATTAACTACAGATATCCCTTATGAAACAAAAAGATATTGTAATATATTGGTAAATATAATACAATATACTGGATCATACATTTCCATAAATGGGAAAGTAGTTTTATTGAAATACTCATTTATCTTTCATGAGTTACACAAGTTTACATAAAGTTGAACAGATATTCATAAACAGTTATCTCACTTCGTTTTGTATAGTTACCCACTTTATATATGAACATATGTTTGATGGTATTTATTAAAAAAGTACAAATACTCCATTGTCCATTGAATGATGGAAAATAATATACAGTTTATAAATATATACAGACACACACATACTGTATATGCATGTCTGCACGCATATATATATATATATGAATATATGCACGCATATATATATATATATATATGCATATATATACTGTATATGCCCACATTTTTTCATTCTTGAATATACTATTATATACTTACTTCTTATTTCTATTTGTTTAATGTATATGTTTATTTTGAAATTGGAAATAACCCAGTACTGAGATATTCTTGGAAATTAAATTAGAACCCATAAAACAGCTTGCGTTTGGATTCTGGTTACGGCCGACCGGCTATTTGGAGTGGAATGCAGCCCATCCACGGCAGTAAACCCAAACAGTAATCGAATGCGCCACTTCCGGCTGACAGTGGCTGAGCTCCGTCTTCGCTAAACAAATATTTTGTATAACTCTCTAACCTGTTAATGTTCTCAGTGGACACATTACGTGCCAGTGATCATCACCAATCAATCTCACAGATTTCAGGGAGGCCCCCCCTATCCAGCAATAGATTGACCTGATAGGCAGATTCAAATGCAAGTGCGTTGCCGCCTCTGTCTATTGATGATGACGCTGTCAAAGAGAAAGCATTCATCAGGTGCTTCGAAACGGAAAATTTAAAAGAAATTTACAAATTTTTCAAGCTACGAGATGTTTTCTTACGTTTTTTGATGATAAATTATGTCTCAGGAATGTAGTGTTTGGGAATAATGGCAGTTTTAAAAAATATATGAATGTGAATTTCAAGCTGTCCTCCCCTCTAGCTGTGACATCACACACTCTAGTTAATGTTAAAATCTGAAGAAAACCTCTAAAACAAGGTCTGAACAATGTGTAATATCTCTAAAAGTAAGAATCAGATTTAAAAGTTGTTTTACACGAATAATGTCAGAAAGATGTGTAACATTTTAAAGTTGAATGAGGTTTCTGAGTGAAAGTATGAATGAACAGTTAGCAGTTGAAGTCGCATGAAGATTTGTTGAAGTCTGAAGATTTCCTCCATTGACTTCAATGTTAAAAATGGGATGTATTATGGGATGTATCTCTCGAATTATGAAAGTTATGAATGAGAAAAGTAATAGCAATTGATTCCCGACCGAGCTGAACGTTTTGATGTTTGAACGGAGTTTCAGCGATGTTCAATGCAGGAGGAGAAGAGGGCCAAAATACCAGCGGAATAATAATAATAAACTTTTCGTGCGTAGAATAACAAAAATAAAAAAAAATAAAAATGACAGTTTTTTTAAAAGGGCAAGTCACGCATTTTGTAATAACCATTTCAAAATCTAATAATTTATTACAAAATGCAGGGAAATGTATTTTATATTGCGTTCAGGCTTTTGGTTACAGAATGCAGCAGATTATTACAAAATGTGGGTTTTATTACATAATTACGTGACATAATGTGTTGTTTATAGGCCTTTTCTTTTATTCTTTCCTTCTCCTTCTTTTAATGAGTATTTTGATAACTGTTACACATTGATAGAAAAAAACGAATTAAAGATTTTTTTGTTTATCATCAATCAATCAATCAATCAATCAATCAATCAATGTTTATTTATATAGCCCAATATCAAAAATGTTACATTTGTCTCAGTGGACTTCACAGTTTATCAGAACATGCGTTTCTCCTCATTGTGAACATGTTCGGAATATATGGTACGTGATAAACTGTGAAGTCCACTGAGACAAATGTAACATTTTTGATATTGGGCNGTGACAGAGGTAAATATTACTGTTAAAACTACAAGTAAATGTTTCTGATGTTTGAGAAGCGGTGTCCTCATATGCCCTCCTCCGTAAATTCTCATCTGCCTGTGGTGATTACCGCCTTTATGATGACTGTACTGATAACTTTATAAACAAATACTGCAGTAAGGTCTCTGTTTTTGTTTATTTGTGTCCCCCTCTCACTTCAGTTTGATGTAGTTTGTGACAGGAGTAGTTTGATCGAGGCGTCCCAGTCCATCTCCATGGCTGGAGTTCTGGTTGGAGCGTTGGCTTATGGGGCGATTTCTGACCGGTAAGAAACCAAAACACATCCACCTTTTTTGTTTTGTCTCTGNCAGAACTCCGGCCATGGAGATGGACTGGGACGCCTCGATCAAACCACTACTGTCACAAACTACATCAAACTGAAGTGAGAGGGGGACACAAATAAACAAAAACAGAGACCTTACTGCAGTATTTGTTTATAAAGTTATCAGTACAGTCATCATAAAGGCGGTAATCACCACAGGCAGATAAGAATTTACAGAGGAGGTCATCGCTTCTCAAACATCAGAAACATTTACTTATAGTTTTAACAGTAAAAAGTGTTAAGTAAAGTTACCAGACTTACATTTACGTGTATGTGTGTAGATAACAGTACAGACATTATTTAAGTTATATTTCAATCTCAGACTTCCTCACTCACAAGATCTAGTAACTTCATCCTGAGCACAAGCACGTTTTTCTTTGGTTGTTTTGGCCATCTCCCCTCGGGGGCGCCGTAGAAAAGTGTGTTATTGTACTGGATATACTTTATGTATATCCCAACTTTTAGTAGAAAACCACAGCTACTGTACACCACCTGTTAAAGCTGGGATGAATAAGATAATATAATGAGCACAGACAGTTACAGTACATGTAGCTGTGTTCATCTCTTAACCTGTACAGTGTCAAAGTACAGTATCATTTATTCATCCATATTAATTGTTTATCACTCAGTTAGATACGGTGGAGGATTTCACAATAATAACTAAGGGCAATCTGAGTGGACCTTTAGAATTTGGATGAAGAGGAAATAATAAAAATATTTATTATTTTAATGATAATATATAATATTCAATCATAAAAATGATATCATCATTACTTGATGTCACCAATCAGCTGTGTTTGCTTCCTTTTATTCTTGATAAATGTCCCAGTTATCAAACAGTCTACGCACTTCAGTAAAACGTTTTATTTGCAACAACAAATAATACAATTATGTTTAAAAGGTCAACAGTTCAGAAAAGGAACTGATACATCCATATAAATTACATTTTGGTGCTTTTTCCTGAATTTTTAAAACTCTTTATTTTTCATTCGATAAATAACACACAATTACATAAGTAGAAAAACACAAAACAGGGGACCACACTACTCAACGTTTACAGTCTTTCTTTTTCTTGTACACTGTCCATTTTTCCGTTGTTCACAGAATTCTCCTCCTTTTTAGTCAAGGTTTGTAGTTCCGTCAGGTTCTCCGGTTGTCTGTCATTTAAAACAGAAAGATTATTATTAACTAGAGTTGCTTTGAGTATAAAACTTTTAACCTGTTAAGCCCCGAGCCTGTTTTTCAGGCCTGAGGCTCGAAAATGACATTCCCAGAACAAATGACCAGATCTTCACTTCTAAAAGCGGTACATTAATAATATTTTTCCTCAAAGCAATGATAAACCTACGAGTTGGATGTAGAAAAGTCAGAATCAATAACAATATAGAATTTTTTTTATTTTAAAGTAAATTCAGATTGAACATAGTAAATAAATGTAAATTATAGTGTCAGTCCAAATAAAAACATGACTTATAGTGAATACCACCCTTGAATGATGGGATGGTAGACTAAAAACGTTAGGAATCCAAACTATAACATATAATAAGTACCCTGTATCAAAATTGATGCAAAACAAGTTAAATTTGACCTTTTTCGAGAGATTTAGAAAAAACAAAACACTTCTGGGGTCATTTGGGTGGATTTTCCGTATCCCTGGCCCCCCTTGGTCGATTTTGATGATTGACACCTCTTTTTAACCGTTAGAGCCAATAGAATCGAGGGGAAGTTCCTAAAACCCATTTAAACATTACCCATTGGTGAATGAGTGATGCGTAGCCAGATTGCCCAAAACCGGAAGCTGTCATACACTCTAGTAGCTATCATAGCAGCTAATATGAAAACTCCGTTATTGACATAAAAATGGAATGATGGATTATCAGTAATCATCTCAAAGTGACAGACACATTGGATTAACCTATGGATTAACCTTCAGCAGCGTTTTTATCGTTTTGATGCCATTGAACACAACTTTTGATCAGAACAACAGCAAAGGTCCCGTTTTTGCTCCATAAAGCTAGGTGGTGTGATGTCTGGGTTTGCTTCCCCTGCCGAGTTTTGATCACTCAGTAATGATACTTATATTTCTGCAAACTGGATTCTCAGCTTGCTAATCGATGTCTTGTTTGTGCAGATCCGATAAGTAATAAGAGTATTTTACCGTGAATTCTGTGCTCAGGGCTCATTTAGACGCTTCCTGTGAGACTTGTGTTTTGTTTCGGTAAAATTGGTTCGTATCGTCAGTTAGCTGAGTTTCTTCCCGTTAAGTGGGTATGACACATTAATAGGTTTTTAAATGTTAAGAAGCCCTCAGACACAGTTTTGTGGAAAAAAACCTCACCTGATCTCAGCGTGGTGGTCCTGGAGTTCCACATTAAGAGTTTCAGGCAGTAATAAGCAGAGACCTCCAGCTGTGATGGGCACGATGCCGTATATCAGCATGGGGATCGTCCAATGATAGACTTCCAGGAGTCTGATCGGAGGAGCGAGGATCCCCGCCACACGAGCACACATGGAGTTCAGACCTACTCCATTCTGCCTATAGATACAAAATGATCTTATAGAAAAAGCAAACATGCCTTATGAATTGTACCTGAGGGATATTACCTACCTTACCTTAGAGTGGTAGGGTACAGTTCTGCAGTGTAAACATAGACGATAGAGAAACTTGTAGTGGCAGCAAACTTCCCCACTACTGCGACCACTGTTGCCACCACGGGAAGATCTGATGGACAATTCATACGTCAGACCGTTGTGACACATTGTGCATGCAAATTAAATCATGTGTGCCAGCTTCACTGTGCACATAATGAGCTTTGCCAAATGGTGATACAGTTGATTATGCCGGAATTAGAGACATGGGCTACCAGGGGTTAAAGTGAGCAGGGGCTGTCCGGGTCTCAGCTCCGGCTCATAGGACGAAGCTCTAACGTCATCACCCTCGCACATTTGTCATATGTTTGCAAAAAACGATAAATGTTAAAACTTTTCTCGTTCTTAATATGGACTATATTTAGGGTCCATATGTTTTGACTTTACTTTGAAATAGCAGATCTCTGTGACCGGATATATCTTTTCGGCTTAGTGAGCGCGTGTCTCTGCTCTGCAAAATGTATGTGCGCATAAAGCTAAAGAGTTATGATCGGTCATAATAACACAGAATTTGGTGATGATTCAATAGTTTACAGTGAGATTTACTCACTAACATGCGGCACGCTGTTCAGACGTCTCCCTGACTATTCCCACTCCATTCCCACACACCCCCCTTTCCAGCAGTGTCATCTCAGGCCACCGTTTCCACTGCTAGCTCCCCCTACTGTCCTCCAATGGCATTGGTCATTTCGGCCACCACAAGAAAGCCCTTCCCTCCCGTACAAACCACACTAGCTCCCCCTTGTGGCTTGGTGGATCCACTACAACTATACCCCAACCTGTGCGTACTTCAGCTTCCACTTCAATACTGATGGACATCCCGGTCAGAATCACTGACCAGCGGTCACGCCCTTGTTATGATCACAATCGCTGTGGTGCGAGTCCAGTTGTACACATAATCAAAGCTTCCTGTGCTGATGGTGATACAGAGGCTTCCTCAGCTAAAATCTGTCTGATTAATGCACGCTCTGCTGCGAACAAGGCTCACACTTGTTATGACTTGTTTATAAGGGAGAACTTGGCCTTCTTATTCCTGACTGAGACATGGCAACGGAATTTGGAATATATCCATCTAAATGAAGTGTGCCCAGCCGTTGTCTGGAAGAAGCAGTTGCTCAGAAGAACCTTTCATTACGTTTGAACTACAGGTGACTAAAATTGGCCGGCAAAAGCCATTTTATTCTGTTTTAATCTATCGACCTCCTGGTCCAGCAGGTCCGTTTTTAATTGAGTTCACTGACTTTCTTTCTTCTATTATCAAGCTGGACGAAGTGCTATTACTGTAGTAGGTGATTTTAACCTGCACATCAATGATGCCACAAATTCTGCAGCCACTGAATTTATTAATATTACTGAATCTTTTAATTTCAAGCAACATGTTTCCGACGCCACTCACGTGGGTGGTGAGGGAGGCAGAAAGTTCAATAAGGTGTAATTCTGGTATATTCATTTTAATGTCACTTCATATATTCCTGTGTGTTAAATTTGAAGGGACAAAGTACATTTTTCCTCTTTAAATATAGAGAGGCTTTTCATATATTCCTGAAACAATGTCCCATTACTTAGTAATAATAAATTAAAGCAATAGTCTTTTTCTTCCACTTTTATGTGTAATAAAAAGGGTGTTTTTTTGGCTATTTGTGAGTAGGTATAATACAAATGACCTTTGACATCTGCTTTGCAGTTCCCAGAATATCAGGAGAGTGTTAGGATCTCTCTGTTAATCATCCACGGTTTTTGCAATTAACAGGGGGAAGCCAAAGGGGGTTTTCCTCAAAGATAATACAGTTAATTTCTTTCTTGTAGTTAATGATGCACATCCTGCAGGCCTTGAGACTTGGGTCACCCAGCAGTAAACGAGATAAAGGTCCTTTTGAGCTTATCAATAAAATGTATTCATTCCTAGTAAGTTGACTTCAAGGTGAAAAGAAGTTCACAGAAGCCATTAAGCGACAAGAACAATTAACTTCTGTTAAAGATAAGATGTGTGTTGAAGATGTTTAGGGAGAATGTGTGTGCGTTCTGTTAAAGAGTTACATGACTCCAAAGCATGACAAGGGGGACAGAAACACACACACACACACGCACAGAAAAAACCGATGGAATCAACAACTGCTGACCCACTACCTGGGGTCCCGCCCAGAAGTGAAACCGACCAATGGAACACTGCCAACTCACTGGCTAGCTCGCTCAGAAGTGAACTCGCCAATAACAAAGAGCTAGGGAAGGGCAAGCGATAAAACTCCTCCTCACCTGTGTATAAATGTTGTGATGATTTTGAGGATCGGCGCTCTTGTTTTTTGACTTGCCGTTCCTGAGACGTGTCTCACGTGGTGGTAGAACTTGGGCCCGGAGCATTCTGCATTCTGAAGCAGCGAAGTATTTCAGAGTAGGGTATTGAGTCTCTAACGGCTGGAAGCTGCTGTTGCAGAGTGCTTCGTGATTAGGTGAAAGTTTGATGTATTGTATGTTTTTACCATTAAAGCAGATTATTGTTTAACCCTTATCCTGGTGCTTTGACTTTTCCTTCTAAAACAAACTCATAGAGGAACGCGCAGAGCAGAGGTTCTGCCCCAACAGT